CCTCAGGCTTGAACCTGACCTGAGGATGCTTACCACCAGTTCTAAATGCTGTTGTTCTCTTCCATCCTTAGCATAAACATGTTTGTCTCAACCGATCTCTGACCAACACGACGCCATTACTGTGTTTTGCAGATGATCTTTTGGGGTTCCAGGAGGCTCTTGCATTTTTTTACTGACATTTACAGAGATGTGAGTATGCTATTTACCCCCTATTGCCTGAAACACAGAGTTGACACTTCTTCCCCAGCCTCTCAGGCTGCCCTCTCCCCTCCTTTTCAAATTCAACAGCCACAAAGTTGTAATGGCGCAGGGCTCCTAGCTCAACACTGCTGTTTACCCCGTCAGCTTGCCAAGCTCACCCCTGTGATGGCCCTTTGCACCTGCTGCAGGTTCTGCCTGGACAATTCTTCACCCAGAGCTGGGTTGAGCTGGCTCTTACTGCCACTCTGGTCTTAGGGTAACTGTCCACTCCCTGGGAGGCTCTACTTGTGCCCTGTACTGAGGGCAGCTCCTCCCTAGGCCATATATGGCAATACCTGCTACACTGCTTCCAAAGCCTGGGCAGAACACGTGTGTGTGTGTGTGTGTGTGTGTGTGTGTGTGCGCGTGTGTGAGAGTGTGTGTGTCCTTCATCCCTATAGGAATGACAACACCCTCACATCTTCTCTCCAGAACACGTAAATGGTACCTGTCACTCAGCCTGAGTATGAGCTCCACTCATAAGAGAGATGAATGGGTATAGCTTTCTGCCATTCATACAGTGGTGCTTCTGCCTGAGGGCCAGGCAAACACCACTCTGTGCTCTGTCAGCTGTCAAAGGGGACACAGTTCAAGAGTTTGAGGACCATTGTTTTCCCATACTGGCTATTGCTGCCTCCGTGCTTCCCCGCTGCCTGCCCTCAGTGAGCTACGGCGGCTGTGATTTCACCTGCCCTTTAGGATACTCAGTCTGAGCACCTCAGACCCCTCGCTGCAAACACCTGTCTCCTCCTCTGGACTCTAACTAGGTTGGGGGCAGAATATGTGTATTTCTGTCCAGTTTCCCCTGGAAAAAAGTGAGGTGTCCCAAACACTGGTGCGAGAAGGGACGTGGAACATTTGGCTTGGTGGTCATGAATGAGAAAGGCTTGAGAGGGGCTGTAATGGGGGCCTCCTTGCCTTCCCACACAGCTTCAGGCAGAGACCCCAAGACCAGGTTACTGCCTCCACTTATTTTCCCCCAAGATGGCATTGAAAGCAAGTTACATCATCATCCTCTGGGCTTCAGTTCACATGTCTATGGAATGGAGACACTAGCAATAACGTCACAGTTGAGCAGAGGCCTCTGTGGGAAACAGGTGAGCTAAGGCTTCGAGGTGCTTGGCTTGATGCCAAGTGCATAAAACACATCCAGTAATGTTAGCTATTTTATCACAGAGGGCTGATCTTCAGTGGGGGCTCTCTGTCCCATGTGAGGGGCCAGAGCCAGGAGGCTAGGTTTAAGTTTGGGGCTAATTACAGAGAGCAGATGCAATAAGAATTCAGGATATGTTTCTCCTTTCCCCACATCATTCATTTATTCACCCAGCAAGTATTTTCTAGGCGTCTCTGACACACCTGACCATGGGAGTCTGCAGAAAGTAAGCCAAAGTCCCTGCCTCAAAAAATATAAGAAAGTAAAACAAATGAACATTATTTTTTTTTGAGACAGGACCTCATCTATTCCAGGCTAGCTTCAAAGGGTAGCTAAGGATGACCCTAAACTTCTGACTCCTGCCTCCACTTCTCGATGCTGTGATTACGGGAGTGTGCCACTACAAGCAGTTTCTACAGTGCTGGGGACTAAACCCAAGGCTTCATGTCTGTTAGGCAAGCACCCTACCCACCGAGTTGCATCCCCAGCCCCAGACACATTCTTTTAAACAGGGACTCCTCTGTAAATAAAACGCCAGAGTGACTAGTGGGACAAAGGGCCTCTGAAATAGATTTAAGTGGGACTCTAAAGAAGGAGAAGAACATACCTGGGAGGAGGAGAGCCCAAGCAGGAGCAGAGAGAAGCTTCCAGCAGCAGAGGTAGGATGCAGGGAATGGTGTCTGAGCGACTGGTCTGCCAGTGTAGCTCCCCAGGGGCTTAAGCGTCTTAAGTTCAAATTGATTTCTAAGTTTAATGAGAAGGCAGTATGGGGTTGGCAGGAGGTCTTGGGGATCCATCTGACAATAAGCTCGAAAGTGATGTCAGGAAGGCGGGGACAGATGAGAGAGAGAGAGAGAAAAAAAAAAGGTAGAGAGACCCAGGTGAGGACTGATGCCATTCAGAACACAGATGTCCCCCACTTCTGACAGTCCCACCTATGGTTTCTTGATTTTGGGAAGGTACAAAGGTGACATACTGTTCTTTCCCTTACTTGTGGTAAGATCATCTGAGGTGATAAGAGCAGTGGTAGCAAGCCACTGCTCCTGGGCAAAGTAAGGAAGAGCAACAAACCATGCCTTGCCCCAAGCTGTGTTGCAAGGCTGTGGTTAGTGGGAGGGTATTAGTGGGCACACTCAGTGTGTTTTCCAATTATAAAAGTCTCCACTTGGAGTGACTGTCTGACATTTGGTCTGATCATTAATAGAAAACATTTGTAGAGTGTTGATAGGACAGTGAATGCCTAGGACATGCTGGTGTATGAACAGAAGGAGGAAAGTGAACCATCCAGAATGGCCTAAGTCATGGCTAGTGTTGAAAGAGGTAGGTGGAAATATTTCTCAGCAAGGCTGTGGGAAGAGTTTTCTGGAGATGGCAGTCTGAGCTTTGAGTTGGATGGGGAGAAGCATGGGCTTCATACAGGGAAATATTTATGTGGACCAAGTACCCAGTTAGCTGGCCAATACAATTGTAGAGGTTTGGAGTAGGAGCCTAGACTGAGGACTTGTGGGCATAGAGACTCTTCGGGGTGGCGGGGGGGGGGGTTCTTGTTTTGTTTTTAAGGCAGGTTCTCACCACTCAGCCCAGGGTGTTTCTGAGCTCACGATCCAGCTGCTTCAACCTTCTGACGGCTGAGATTAGAGGTGGGCACTACCACAACCAGCTGGAGAGATGATTTCAAATCATGAGACAACATACAAGGGGCCAGGAGTTGCAAGGGGTGTGTGGAGGGCACAACGGGGGATGCTGGGAAACCTGCAGAGTCTGGTGGAGAAGGAGCCCGGGAATGGTATGGGGGGAAGACAGAACCAGGTGTCACCAAAGTCAAGTGAAGACAGCACGGCGAAGAGAGTGTGCCCAGCTGGGGCAAATCCCGCTGCAGGGTTGAGGAAGGGGAGAATGGGCCTTGGGTTGGGCTCCGGAAGCTGATGGGAATTTGGATAGCAGAGTCAGAGATGATGAGAGAAGGCACGTTGTGTGCATGTATCCAGGCGCACTCTGAGGAATGGGCATAGAGGAGGAAGGCACAGAGAGGAGTGAATGTGATCTTGTTGGTTTGACACGAGAAACATTACAGCTTGTTTAAGTGCTCATGGGCTCGGTCAATCAGGGAAGGCGAAATTGATCATACAGGAACAGAATTCCTGTGTAGGGTGGGAACCCAAGGCCTGGAGATGGCCCCTCAGGATAGTTGTGTCGGGAGAGCCTGTGTGCCAGAGGCAGGTGTTTGTAACGCATTGCATTCCCACCAAGAGGCACAGTACCCCATACCCACTCAGGCTTTCCCCACCATGTGACCCCAGGCCAAAGCAGTGAATCTTTCTGAGCTATGTGTGCTTCTCCCAGGATGGTGGCATTGGTATCACACATGTTCTAGCCTGTCTGGAATCAGATAGGTTCCCGGCATAGAGACGCCACTGGTTTGGGCTGGAGAAGGTCATCTCAAAAATCAGCCAGACTTTATTGCTAGGCAGGTGTTAGGGGCCATATCTTAGGCCTCCTCCCCTCAGAGATAACATAACCAAAAGGCCTTCCTTGATTTCCCTATCTGTAACAACAAGTAGTAGCCCATTGGGCAGTACAGGGGGTGTGGGATGGTCCAGGGCCAAAATTCACTATCAGACAGGGCCACACCTCCAGCTCTACCCTTTCCAATCCATTAGCAAAGGCAACTAGACTGCAAAGTTAAGGTATGAGAGACCCTCTTGGGGGCTTCCTTCCCAAAGCCCCAGGACAATTTCATTAAAATTCAGGGATTTCTTGTTAGTTTCGGTGAGGCTAAGGATCACACCCTGGGCCTTGCATGTGACACTCAGCTTACCACTCAGCTACACCCCCAGGCTCCCAGACTAATTTGAGATTTGTTATTTAATATTAATTTTCTTATAGAGGGACACAAGAGATCACAGGTCCCAAGCTCCATGGAGCTGAGTTCTGTCCCAGGACCTGGTATAATTGATTTACCTTCACTTTCCCATTGGTAAAACAGGACAGTGGGACCTGCCTCATCAACTGGACGAGGAACAAGGCTTCTTGGTGCACGGTACACGCAGGAGAGGTGGTGGGGACTCAAATGAATGACAGCAAGAGTGGAGTATAACTTCTTGGGATGGGGAAGAAGGCAGGTACCTTATGCTCTGGCGGTGTCACAGAAGGGGTCTTCCTCGGTGGCCCACCCGGGATTACAGGTCAGTTCCTCATTCTATTTCTACCTGGGAAGACACACCTGCCCGAGGCCAGCTTTCTCCTACTGTTCCTCACAAAAGCTGGCTCTTGCCTCTTCCTGTCCCTGCTGGCACCGAGCTCAGGGCTGAGTGGGCACATGGTAGTCAGAGAAACTCCTCTGTTTGTTCCTGCATTTCCTTTATGCAGCTCCTGTCCCCAAACCAGCAGCTCCACTGTACCCAAGCAGTTTGCACAGGGACTGGGTGCCGAGTGCCCTGCCTGCAGAGGCCACCTTTGGCTCCCAGGGAGACCAGGAGGTGGTGGCCTCACTTCAGGGGAGGGGAAGTGACGAGGAAACCCTAAGGATGCCCCACTGTGGCTCCAATGATCTCTCCCTTGCCTTCCCTAGATTACCTATGCCGAGTGAGACCCACAAAGTCCTTACCTTAGTTCGGACAATGATTGGCAGAGGCAACAGGAAAATGGGCAGAAATAGCACAATCAAGTAGAAGCGATAGGCCCATAGGCCCTGCCAGCAGGTGGCCATAGTGTGGACCAGCCAGTCGCAGCTGAGGCTGCCAGAGCAGCTGCCTCCAGGAGTCAGGAAACAGAAGGCCTGAAGAGGCTGTGTACAGCAGGTGGCCCGGGGCAGCTTATATAAAGCCAGCTGAGCGTTAACCATTGACCCACCCTGGCAATCAGAGTGTTTTTGGAATCAGGGGGTGGGAGCAAGGAGGAGGGACAGCAGGAGGAGTAAAAACCAGGAAGACTTAGCAGGGCCAGGGAGGGCAAAGACAAGAAGAAAAGCTTCAGGTTACAGGAGGAAAGCAGCCCAGACGGCACTCCTACAGGGCACAGAGGCTGCTGGGGTAGCTGGGCTTGGAGAGCCCCCAGCCAGGCTGTGCAGGGCAGAAGTCAAGCCCTCCTTCTAGCCCAGCCCACCTCCAGCCTTTGAATCCCCAAAGCCAAGTTCTCAGCTGAGCAGTTGACACATGACCCTTGGAGCTGGGCGTTGCCCCTACCCTGCCTACCCAGGCATCCCGTCCTTAGGCATTTCAAAGCCTGGGGCATCTGGTTAGCCAGCGAGCAAGCATGCCCCTGTAGGTATCAAAGTGTCTGTCAAAGTCATACATCCTTTGTGCTAGACTGGCCCACTGACTTATCCTAGCAGCTAGAGTCTTCCTCATTCTGTAGTAACCTTTCTTTATGTATGTTGAGCACTGATGTGTGATAAGTAGACAATAAAGATTAGTTTCTTCCAGAATCTTCCTGGTCTCCACCCCCTGACTGCCATGGGAAAACAGCAAATATTGCTTCATATTCTATTTACATACTCAGCCATTCTGCACATCAGCCATCACATAACAAAGCCTTTGGCATCGGTCATGGGCAGTGTTTGGTGTTAAGGATACAGAGATTAAAAAGCTGCACGTGAACGACACAGAGCGAGCCTGGTGCGCGGGAAGAGCCCCACAGGCACCCAAGGGGGGGCCTCCCTCCCAGAAATGTGTATCCCAGGCTGGCCTCGAACTCGTGACCCTCCTGCCTCTGCCTCCTTCAGCAAATTGTACCAGTGTGTTGGGAGCCCATTCCCCATAGAGGGATGCTCTCTCAGCCTAGACACACGGGAGAGGGCCTAGGCCCTACCCCAAATGATGTGACAGACTTTGATGATCCCCCATGGAAGGCTTCACCCTTTCTATGGAGCAGAAGAGGGATGGGATAGGAGTCGGTGGGGGGCATGGGAGGATGGAAGGGAAAGGGAACTGGATTGGTTTATAAAATAAGATAGTTTCTAATTTAAATTTAAAAAGAAAGGAAGGGGGAAAAAAGCTGCACATGAGGGCATGATGTCCCCAGCATTTAGTTCAAGCGGGTTGATATACTGTTTCGTCAGCCTCACAGACCACCAGGCATTACTCTATTGACTTTATAAGTAGGCTTACCGAGGCTTGAAGACACAGAACCAAGCAGACTTCAAATATGTTCTGTGAGGGCTCCAAGTGGGGTGCCAACCAGCGTGGGAGCTTGGGGAAAGAGTGGGCACTGGAGACACCCAACAAGGGTACCTGGAGGAGAGCCTGAATGGGTCCAGGCTCTGGAGTAGTCGCAGGGCAGGAGAAGGAAGGGCATAGGGCACAGCAGGGAAGGGCAAGGTGGGACTTAGAGGGTGGTGAGCGGCCAGTGGGTGTGCTGGGGGAGGGCTGGGGCACATATTGTGGTTGCAGTATATAGTTGGAAATGTTGTCTCTAAGGTGTCCTTATCCCTCCTGACCCCATACTACACACAGTAGGTGTTTGATGGGTGTTTCTGATAATATCACAGTGTGCTGGCCTGTGGGTACCAGGCTAAGAAGGTAGGATGCCAGAGACTGTTTTAGGTGGGGATACAGTCTGACAAAGATACATGTAGACCCGAGGACAGAGAAGCCACACGGTGCATCTCAGAGGATGGAATTGACAGCTATCAGTCATGTTTTGAGGCTATTAGGCCACCAACTAGACCCAGTGGGGGGTCAGTATAAGAGATGCTGTCAGTGCTTGCAGGATGATTGCAGAGGTGTGAACGGGCCCAGGCTGCAGAGCCAGAAAGGATGGGAAGTTACAGGAACACAAACAAGAGCCAGCTCCCAGCCCTGGTTACTCCCGCACAGCTACCAAGTGAGCAAGAAGCAGGAAGATAGCAGACAAAGAGTTTCAGATGCACAGGACAATGCCCCAATTCTAGTTTCCCTAGAAGGGAGCCTCTCCCATGGCCCAGGGCTCTGGAGGAGCCACCACAGCCACTAGGCTGGGCTCTCTTCCCCCAAGAACAACATTTGCTACTTGTGAAATCTGAATCCTAAGTCTTCTCCATATCAGCCTAAAGCATAGGCTCAGAGCAGTGAGGTCAATTGTCTAGTGTCACACAGCATGTGAGTAAGTGGAGTCGGGTTCATTTTCCAATATTACCCATGCCCTTGGTTAGTCATCTCCATTGTTCTGGGCTACTTTGTTGGAGCTGTAGTCAGTATTTCCAAATTAGTCAGTTTTTCGGTTTCTCCCAATAATCCTCTTCTATGTCATGGGCTTTGGGGACCTTGGTTGATTCTCTTCCTCCTCCTCCTCCTTCTATCCCTCCTCCTCTTCTTTAGGTGTGTGTGTGTTTATGCATGCATGTGTGTATAGATATGTAATGTGGATGCATGTGAGTGCTCACACATGTGTGACCAGAGGTCAACCTAAGACGTGTCATTCCTTAGCAGCTGTAGCAGCTGTCCAACCTTGTTTTTAGAGACAGGGTCTCTCACTGGTCTGGAGCTCATGACTAGACCAATTTGGCTGGCTAGATCCTCCCGTCTCTACTCCAACACTGAGGTCCCAGATTACTATTATTTTTTAATCTTATTTACTTTATTTTATGTGCATTATTGGTTTTGCCTGTATGCATGTCTGTGTGAGGATGTCAGATCTTGAAGTTAGACAGCTGTAAGCTGCCATGTGGGTGCTGGGAATTGAAGCCGGGTCCTCTGGAAGAGCAGTCAGTGCTCTTAACCTCTGAGCCATCTCTCCAGCTCCCTATTATTATTATTATTTAAAGGGGTGGTACTTGGATTGAACTCAAGTCCTCATGGTTATGTGGCAAGCACTTTACCAACCGAGCCATCTCCCCAGCCTTGCTGCTGTTGTTCTTTTAAAAACAAATGTATTTAGATGTCTTTATTTCAGGCATATGAGTGCCATGCTGCATGTATGTCTGTGCACCACAGTTGTGCCTGGTGCCTCAGAAGACAGCATCATGTTCCCTGGAACTAGAGTTAGGGATGGTTGTGAACTGAACCCCAGAACTTTACAAGAGCAGCCGGTGCTCTTAACTACTGAGCATCTCTCCAGCTCCCTCCTCCCATGCTCTTTTGAGGTTCAGTGCTGGGAATTGATTGAATCAGGAGCATCCAGGCACCTCAAGCCCCATGACTAATTATCTCAAAGTCAGTGTCCCAAGGCCAGTGGAAAGCCTCCAGCTGTCACACACATCATATGAACTTACTTCTTGCCTAGCAACCAAGCCAGGACCCCACTCTGCAAGACCCTTTCCAATCTTGGAGCCCCGCTACCATGCCCTCCTTCAGTAAATGTTCTGCATGACTCCTGATGGACTATGGGCCGTACAAGTAGAGCAGCCTTCTTCAGTCTTTGCCAGGGGCCTTGCCTGGGCCAGCTTAGTGTCCTATCTCAGGGGAAAGTCAGAATCAGGAAACACCTGCCTTGTGCTTTGCCCAGTGACCTTCCTGGAGAGGGCCATCAGAGACAGAAGTCTGGGGGATGGGGGGAGGGAGATGTGTACAGATTGTCAAGAGCCAGCTTGTCCTTAAAAGTAAATGACTGATAAACTGGGGGTAAATCTGGGATGAAGGAAGGGATGCAAAGGTGGCTCTTGGCAAATTCATACATGGACAGGTAAAGGGAGGGTGTTCAGAGGCCCCAATGTGGTCCTGAGAATGGTACAGAAGCCTAGATATGTTAACACCTGGCAGGATTTGTAGGACATGGACCTGCCCAGCCCAGAGCAGAGAAGGCCAGTGAAGCCATCACATTTTTTTTTTTTTTTTTTGAGACAGGGTTTCTCTGTGTAGCTTTGGAACCTGTCCTGGAACTAGCTCTGTAGAACAGGCTGGTCTCAAACCCACAGAGATCTGCCTGCCTCTGCCTCCCGAGTACTGGGATTAAAGGCGTGCACTACCACATCTTGAAAGAAATGTAGAAGGATGTTCTCAAGCACCAAGAATGGACCACAGATCTGGGAGGCCGGGAGGGTGCATGAGGCTGTTGTCAAGGAAACCACTTCCTCACTGAAAGAAGCATCTTCGCACAGATCAGTTTGCCCTGAGAAGGTGGGGAGAGGGGAATGAAGCATGGGTACCCAGCTCACAGCTCTGAAAATCCTTGGCCTCTCATCTTCTACCGCCTTAGTGAGACCCATTGTTGGTTCTCCTTCTTGGCTTGGTCCTCATCATTCCTGTCTCTCACTCAATAAACCAGATTCTGTTTTTATATCCCTGCCTGGGCTCGGTATTTTTCTAGTCTCCAGGAAGTTCCCATGCTCTTGTGTTGGTTAGACACATTGTCTGTGTCTCCTCCTCCCCACTTTACTGGTTCAGTCTTGTTGATCTTCCTAGTCTCATATGAAGACTGAACTTGCTTTGTGAACTGTCAGCACAGAGCGAGTGAGGCCCCCTGCCCAGTGCCTTAAGTATGCATCACACTTGCTGCACATTCTCTTGTATGCTGTGAGAGTCCTCTACCAGACCATGCTTCATCAAAAGCTGGTACCCAGATGGGTGTTGACTAAATGCACGGGTAGATGATAGCTGGATAAGATAGTATTCCCAGCCAAGGGGTGATGGCACATGCCTTTAATCCCAGCACTCAGGAGGCAGAGGCAGGCAGATTTCTGTGAGTTCAAGGCCAGCCGGGTCTACAGAACAAGTTCAGGACAGGCTCCAAATCCACAGAGAAACCCTGTCTTGTGAACCAAAAAAAAAAAGATAGTATTCCCACCAGATAATCAAGGTTCAAGCACATACTGAAGCTTGGGTAGGATATGTGTGAGTCATTTGTCAAACAACAGAGAAAAGAAGTGAATGGCTTTTTCCCTCTGTCGTGATCCCCATGGGAAGAGAAAAAGTAATTTCTGGAAGCAAGGCAGTGATCCTGGGT